TGACCGTCACATTATAACGCCCCCACGGCTGAAAGAGCTGTTGTAGCTTCGTGAAAATTCTATACAGAGGAAGCCATTTCTGTTTCAAACCCAATTTATAAACAGCATGGTTATTTTAAATTAACCAACTACAGGGGCCAGAAAGTTGTAGGTGATAATATATTCAAGTAATTAGTCTTTGTGCGATCGGAAATACACGTAATCAAAGAGGTGTCTTCGTAGTGAAAAGCATTCAAATGATTTACAGAAACATTACGGCTAAGTTTAGCAAGATATGATTTATAAAATGATTCACCATTTAACACATTTAAATGTTTTTTTTTTCTTCAAGTAATTGATTTAAGGGTGACATAGAGAGAGAAAATATTAAGATATAGCAGTGAAAAACACAACATTACTAAAATAAATTTAAAATTATTACGCGTGTTAAGTTTTAATTTTTGTTTTTTACAGCAGTTTGTATTGGCATACATGACATGATAAGTATGTATGATATACATTTACTCTTTTAGGCTCACAACATGTCTGAAACATGATAAGTTAATTTTTTTTAGTAAAGGTGATATAATAGCTAACAAAAGACTGCTACTGTTCTTTTCTTTGGAAAAGCGACATTTATTTGAAGTAACATACACACGATATTAAATGACGTAACCTTATAAAAATATCAAGTTTTTAACAATAGTGAGATCATGTAAATGCTATAAGAAAGGGTTGTTCACGACTTATGGCAAATCTTGTATATTAATTAAATCAACTTGTTTCTGGCCATCTCCGTGGCGTGTGAGTACACAGATTTAAAGCCCTTATAGTTTTGTTGCAGTTCAGTTAAATGGTGATTTACAATAGCAAGTGACACCTAAAATTTACCCCGTTTAGAAGGGTTACATTAAAGGACATTCTGATGTGAAATGCTCCTATTCGGCAATTATAAAAGAATGCAAGAGATGAAATTTTAGCACTTGGAAAAAAAAGTATTGATCCTTTGTGATAAAACCAATTGAAGAGTGATTCTAGCAAATAAAATAAAGAAAAAAGCAAATGGCTACTTTATGGCAGACTACCAATCACTCGCCGGAGATAGTGAAGAAAGTTAAACTACTTGTTACCAATAGTAGCCCAAGGACACAGTAGTCATTTACAGCTAAAGTAGGAATCTCTCTCTTAGAACTGTAAACAAGATCATTCACGTAGACTTAGGTCTATAAAAACAACACAAGAGCTATGTTCACCAACTTCACCCAAGGTACATGACTGAATGGAAGATGACCTGTCAAAACTGTACGAGTAATGTGACAAATGGAATTATGTCGTCACAATGAATAAAGTATATGTATTCTCAAGTGGCTGCAAAAATTCTGGACAATTTATAAACGTTGTTTACAAAAGAACGACTAATTATACTCACTGAAAAGTTTTTCAGAATTATCTATAGTGATTGAAAGTTACAACTATAATTTTAGGTTAAACATCTGGACAAGGTGAACTCTCCATTTTATGAGGCAAACATGCTGCCAGCACTATGCCACGAGGAAGTATCGTCTATATACAGACTAGATGCCAGAAGAATAAGACCCCATCAAGACAAAGCATCCAGTCACATATATTAGCAAACACGCTATTACCTCTACAAGATATAAGAACAAAGGTGAATTCGTATAATACCATTCAACATTTTACATGGACTTTTGTGTCTTTGGTTCGTCAAATGGTTTCTCGGAAGTTGTCACCCATGCATGGTTGATGAACCTTGGAAAGCAGGTAAAGAGAAAGGGATAACATTGTCTTTAGTATATTGTGCAAAAGTCTTTTGCGAAAATTCGTTGCATGTCTGTTCACGCAGAACAAAATCATGAACACAATTTCGATATCAGTAGTTATGAACAAATTACGAACAAAAATATACATGAATCTGATAAAATTATAATGAAAATACAATATTTAACATTACCATTGTCTATGATAATTTTAGCTTCTTTTTCAGTCGAGGAAACAAGTTAAAAAATTTAACTATGAAATGTTTTCAGTCAAATTAATTTACTGTATTTTGAGATATATGAGCGCTTGGATATCATTACACTTATGTCAGTGTTTAATACGTTTAAGAATAACAGTTTTTAAATTCTTCAGACCAATAAGAGTGCTTGAAATTCTATAGATCCACCAGGTTGCATGACTTTACTACATTTTGTTTTGGAAGGTACATAACATGTTAATGATTTTACTTTGAATTGTATTTTTTAAAACTAGGGTCTGTGACTGGTAGACTGACAATAAAGAGGATAACGGTTGTGATACATTAAATTTTGTGTAGCAGTAAGCAGCATATAGTTAAAATTACCTACTTGTTTTGTTCCGTGTTTTAAAATTGTACATAGCCTCAGTATCTCCTGCGGAACTTTGTGCAACAACTAAGACTTCGTACCAAGTAGCCACAGACAAAGCTTGGATATGAAAAGGCGATCTGTTATTAAACGGTAAATTTTCGGCCAGAGTTCTCCATCGGCTGTGAAACTTTTGCCTCAATCTGATCGTATAAGATGTTATGGAACATCCGCCATCTTGCCATTTGGAGAAATCAAGATAAGCTTCGGTTTTGTTAACTACAATAAAATCTTCTCGAGCTGGTGATACAGGGGCTGAAAAAAAAATACTTAGCGGATATTAAGCCACATTTGTTTCAATTAGTAATATGTAATAAATGTTTGACGCATAATCTTTTTAAGACGTTAGTTAGCATGCCTAATTACAGAAATGTTAGTTTATAACATGAATATTAAGCAACTATTTAAAAGAAAATTATAATGCATAATATATAAAACTGTTTAAACTGCAATCAAAATTGAGTTTTAAAAGCAGGTTTACAGTGACTAAAGTAACGTAGAGAAAATATCTTTGACGTAAGATTTTAGAGGAACGACACTGTCGCTTGCAGTATGTTTGGTTCTAATATAAATCACAGAATAAGAGTTTAATTTTAATCACTAGCTGTTTTTAAAACAGAATAATATATATACAAGCTAAATTACCAGCTCCTACTGTTCTGATGTTCAGTTTATTACTTGGTTCGCTCCTACCAACAGTGTTATGTGACGTCATAAAAAACTGATAAGTAACGCCACACTTCAGATTCTCTACCACATATTGGTTCTGGTCGGTTGCTATGGGAACTACTGTCCAGTCTGTGGGATCATTTTCCTCTCGGTAATGAAGCGTGTATTCTGAAAACGAAGGAATGGCAATATAACTTACCAACTATAGCAAGCTTACAATTAATCTATGCCGAACAAATAGATACAAAGAGATATACGCCATAGATAACATTGGTTGTGGAATAAAGCATCTATCTTGATATATAAGTTATTAAAACAGAAATAATTTCAATCAAATTTGTTTTAAGAACTTCTCAATACTTTGTATTTAATATATTGAATAAAATATTATTTTGTTCAGTTTCATTAACATAAAAACTTAGCCTAGATTTGCCACAATTAAATATGCAGGAGTAAAATGTTGATGTGTATGAGGATTGGGCAGAAAATATAAAAACCTGCTTAAAGGTATGTCATTTTTTCTCAGATGTTAATTGGACTAGATGTTCTTCCGACTAATTAATTTGTTCATTCCAATTGCCTCTTATATAGATGATCGTATTAGATAAACGTATGCAAGCTCTATTTCATATTAGTTGTTAAGCAACATGGAAAAGAAGTATGACTTAATTGACTTTCAAAAACGACAGTTTGTAGGAAAGAGATTAACAGATGCTCTACTGACCCAAATATCACCGTTTCCTGGTCTTGCAAGAGGAATAACATCAAAGGCTAGAAATCCTCATAAGATAAGTTTAAAAATGCTTGGATGATCAGCTTGAGTGAACGAGACCGACGTGATTTATGTCAAATTATGTCTTCGAATGATGGAGACTAATTCCTTAGCATAACTTCCAGAACTCGCAGATGCCCTAATACGAACAACTGAACCAGTTCAAACAAACATAATTGGAACAACACGTTATTAAGCCACTTCCAGTGGGTATCTCCATTATTTTCTCCAACTCCTACATATGTATATGTGACGTCATAAAAATTGATAAGTAACCATATTAACTTAAGAACTCAACTTAGATTTATCTGCAATTTTGTTTCTACGGGAGCTAATAACCCTCACATGTGCCCTAATTGCTATGTGTTTATTAGATAATAAATTGTATGCTTTGGTAAGATTAAGATATTATTGCAAATTATTTAGAAAATAACTGACTTAGATTTGTTATATATGTAGAAAGAATAAGATTTACTTCTATTAACCCTATTTTAATGGAGCTCACTCTATCATCTTTCCTCTAGTGTTTTTGATTTGTTTGAATACTTTGAGCTATGTTCTTTATATATATGCATATATATATATGCTTTAATGCATATACTTTTGTTTCGGGTCGGTTATCCATAGTCATAAACGGATAAAGCTTGTGATAAAAGCACCTAAAAAACGTTGGGAATATCCCATCTATAAAGCAAAACCCAAAACGCCGAAGTTAAACAAGTTGACCATCATGGAAAATCAAAACAAGGGTGACGAGGTGAGTGCTTAAACCCACAACATCTCACCTCCTACT